TTAGTTCGTCCTGTAGCGATGAGGCAGGCATGGACTGACGTTTACTAAGAGTTCTTTGTAGTGAATTGCACTGCCTACTCTGCATTCTAGGTCTAGATTTTCGGGTTCCTCGGTAGATTTGTTTCAGTCGTGATGTTTTTCATTTCAATTCAAGTCGATCGAATCGTTTCTCTTAATTTCGGTGAGTAAACCCTTCTTTGAAGTGAGTGGCTTTTTAGAAACTTTGAGAAACTTAGAATTTGTTTGTTGTCACAGCATTGTACCTGGTTCTACGTTAGGGGGTTAAAAATGGGCTTAGACCAAATGGGCGTGGCACCCTCTACAGCTGTGAAATGTTTGCCCTGCTATAACTTTGGAACTGAATATGACATGAGATTAATATTTAGCCCACTTTCAGACATGTCAAGTTTTGCTTTCAAATCTGCTCCTTCATAGGCGAAGGAGGTGAGAAGAGAGGGGAAGAGTATAGATGGCTCCGTACCGTCAAGTCGTTTCAAGTTTTTTTGTCTTTTGATATTTTCGTTGCTTCCCATTTAAAAACCTAAGGACTTGAATTCAATAAAAGTTGGCGCGTGTAGAAGCAAATAGAAAATACTAAAGTGCCTGAAAGGGGCTTAGTGCGGGGACATTACTAAACTAGGCACTTGTTAGTAAACTAAAAAGGTATGGGAGCCGGGGCACACTGAAATACCAGGATATGAGAGGGCAGACGAGCGCGCCTCCATTCCACTTTCACCAGTCTGAAGGAGGATAGGTGGCCTAAATGGCTCGTTCTCCTCTGCTTTCGATTCTTTAAAAGCGTAAATAGTTTACCAATTATGCTATTTTGACTATCCCTTAGAAAAACAAGCCGACGCCATCAGTTTACTACCTACTAACATCCTGCACCACCCAAGCAGCAATGGTCAAAAAACTGCATTGACCCAATGCGCATACAATGAACTTCGCAATTCTGTCGGCGCCGGACGAAAAAAGCTCACTTTAAATATCTAAATTTGTAATAGGAAATTTATGTATGTAGCGTGCTATGTTCAAACGATAAAAGCTTTTGGCGAAGCCCAGAAACCGGCTGCTGCTGCAATTTGCAACAACCCACGTTGCACATGCGACCGCAGGCGGCAGGTTAAAATAACCCAACTTTCATTCATGCGTCCCTGCACTGATAAATTTAGCCAAAGCTGCGCATGCGAATGAAAGAGTGAGCGACTTGAACTACATTGTACTACTCCTTCGCGTTAAAAAAGTCCTGAAATTGCCTTTGCCTTTGGCGTTTCGCTGCAGTGCTATTTGAGAGCGCATACATAGGGTGGGAGTAGTTGCAGCGTTGCAGGCTTGCTTGTATGCGGCTATAAAATTAATGTAACAATGTTCGTTTGCACTTTTACTTTCGCTTTTCAATAACCTTAGCCTAGCATTGTTGTGGTGGTTGTTAATGGCGAAAATTCGCCAATTGAATGAACTAAAAGTGGTGTGGTGGCGTGAAAGGAGTTTGGTCAATTTTAACTTTGAATTTTTGAGAGGAATTCGTACATACATAAGGATGCACGTATGTATGTACATATGTACATACATAGGCACATATTATAATTATGTACATATATTCATAGTAGAAAGATATCGATTGAAATTTAAAGTAAATAACACTATGACACTAGGAATACTACTTAGTAATAATAAAAAATAAACATATGTTATTTAGACTATTCTTAATCATCCTTCCTAATCAACGAAAACTAATTTTTCATTATCTTTTTTTTTTATTGCAGAGGACGTAAACGTTTTGTCTCCGAAGGAGACGGTGGCCATATTAAGCCACAAACTATTCCAATTCGTGACTAAAAAAGAAACAACAAAATTATAATTAAACGCATAAATATAAAATCAACAACAACAAGCACTTTTTAACCACAAAATAACTGCATTCTTTCTACAAAACAAACGACAATTAAAACAAAAACAAGAACTACACAATACAACTATAACCAACAAAAAAAAGGAATAAAAGAAAAATGAAGTTTCATTAGTATCAACTTTAGAACCAAGTGAAAACTGTGAGGAGAAATTGACACCGACCAGCAGCAAAAAGGAAATGCCAGAAATTTAACTATCAATTTCCAAAAACCCTCATTTTCTTCATAAACTCACCCACAACCGCAAACAAGAGTATAATATAGTGTATTCGCAAATAAACCGCAACAAAACTTATCAACGAAGAAGGGAAGAACCCTGGAAAGCAAAAAAAAAACAAAAAATTGACAAAAAATCGACGACAACCGCAACAAGGCCACGAACTTCACATTTATTGGTACTGGCATCAGCTTTGTTTCAATTTGAAGAAGATTAACGAACCTTCCATGTAACTATTTGTTAGCAGCATTAGCTCTATGTATGTAAGTATGTATGCAGTAAATAGTTGGAGCATAAAACACAATAACCAATAGAAGGCAAAAACAAAAAAAAAAAGAAACACAAACGAAAATAACTGCAAAACTTGGAACAAGCAGTAAATGCGCATACATACACAAAGCAACAATATGCAAGGCGTAATCAACAACAATCAATCAATTTTACTTGTCTCTTATTACTATCCACAAAGCATGTTTTAGTAAACTGTTTTTTTTTACTTTATACTGAATGTAATTTTTAAGTTTTTATTGCTATGATTTGAATTTTCGCAAATTTATTGTACGCGTCTGCTGAAGTTTGACTAAAACGAATTATCGCATTTTTTGTTTGTATAAAACTTTTGTAGAAAAACAAACAAAAAAATGCAAATATTATGCGTGGAAAATTGAGTAAAAACTGAAAACATGTAATTTGTGAAATAAAAACAGCGTAAATGATATATGAGTATTGTAAAATGAAAATGTTTTGCTTTTTATATTTTTCCTCTTGATAGTGGCGAAACAAAGCAATTTAATGTTTTTTAGGCGAAAATATGAGAATACATTTCTGCAAAAATGCAAGCCAAACTGGAAGTTGATACAAACATCAATTAAAAATATTGAATAACCGAAAAAAATATTGGCATTTACGCTTGAAATAAAAAGTCGAAAAATAAATACATACTAACGAAATAATTTGGCACAATCAAATCTGGTTTGCATAGTAAGCACACACTGCAAATGCAAGTGCAAAAAAGAATAAAATGCGTACATATGTATATCTCAAATTCTGCAGCGAAGCAAAAGCTACCTACATACATATATATGTGTGAGATTTATGTAACCAACATTGCAGAGTCTTACGAATGAATTATACATATCGTTGATACTGCAAAGTGTTCTATGTCAAGTACTACTTCTTATGCTTAGATATGTGTTATCCAAATCTGAACATTTCTATTAATCGTTGAATTTCATCGGGCAGAGGTGGAAAGTTTTGTCTTTGGTTTATGATTTTAGAGAGATTTACAAATGCGTAAGCACAAGTAATAATTGGCACAGAACGTTTTGCAATATCAGCGACGTTATATATTTTTTAGCAATTTTTCTAAATGCATGCGCACAATAAATATAACACTTGAATAATATGTTGCGTTTTTGTACAACTAAGCTAAACTGCACACCATTACAATTTTACGTACATTTTGTGTAGCAGTTAGAGAAGTTGGGCAAAAATAATAGAAGCAGCAAAGAAAATAAAAATCTTGTGTACATTGGTTTTTCAAATTCAATGAAAATCTACTATTGTTAGAGATACAAACATATCGTCGCCTGCAATGCAAAAAGAAGTAATACACATCGTCGCTAAAATGCAAAAAGTCGTAACTTATAAAAAATTCAAAATTTACTTTTTCATTGATATGATGGATTTCATCGAATTTCATCTCCCCACATCGTTTTATGAAAAAAAAAAAATATTAGTCACGACTTTTCCATTTCAGTGACGATTTTTGTTACGTCCTTTTGCTTTTCGGGTGACGATATGTATCTTAATATGTATTTGTGTAAGAATGTTTTCTCATAAATTGCATTTTTTTTACTAAACTCTGTGAAAATTTTTAAACTTGTGCGAAACGTTTAAGAACTAGTATGACACTTAGAAAAAGCGTTGATAGAAAAAAGAAATCGCATGCGAGTATATTTTTGTGGACATAACAAAGTAAAGAATTTCCGAGAGTAGTTTTTTATGCTATTTGCTGGATACTTTTAGGCGTTGGAGTGGAAATTAGTGTTAGCTGTGTGGTTGTTTATGTATATTTACTTAAAATAATTTGTGCGTCTCAATTATAAACGAAATTCAAAGAAAATTTATTTGAAATTAAACTCACATTGAGGCGGAACTCTATAGCAGAGAAGAGAAATGACAACAATAACAATAACAGTAACAACAACTAGCAAAGTAATATCGTCTTCGCTTTGCTCAAACGATACACCAACAGTTGTGGCAAGGTAAATGTATATGCTTTGAGTTGTAGCGAATGTTTAGTTATTTTGCTCGTGAAACCCCACCACCTAAAAAGAGCACAGTTTATAAAAGGCCACACCTCCCCTCTCTAGCCCCTCCAGAGACTCGTGGTGGCATCCATTTGAAAATGACGAATGACAGAGAGAACTGTATGTAACCCAACTAACAGAAACCATGGAATTGAATTATTGAAATTGGGTGTGTTCGAGCTACGTAAGTTAAATATAATTTGAACTTAGACCTCCCGATGGCCAACACTTAGCATAATAAAATCTAGAAGATACTGCTGTAACAACATATGCAGTTTTCCACTAAAGAGGGTTACTGCCAAATTCTTCACCACACCTTCCAAAAAATCTTGGTACACTTTTGCTCCAGTTTTTACTGCCTTTAGAAAAAAAATGCAAAGCAAAAATGTGTCATTTGTTGAGTGAAAATTCTAAACCTCTTTGTTATGTCCACAGCGGTAAGCGAAGTTGTAGTAGAAACCATTCCTACGACAACACACAATTTTACGCGCAATCAATTGCTGCGTACTTTAACAAGCATTTATATACTTTCATATTAAAACGCAAAACTTTTTTTTATGAAGTTTCCACTTCAAAGACTCAATTGCGAAAATTTATAAATTTATTTCCACCTTACCGGCAACTGTATGCACTACTTTAAACAAAAAAAATATTTAAACTCAAATTAAAAGTAGTGGAGCTGAGAAATACATATCGAGCTAAACGCGAAAAAAACGTTAGTGATTTTTTGTTTGTTTTCAATATCTTAATTTCTCCATCAATCATCAAAAAGAAAATTATTTTTAAAATGTCGCTAACGTTGTTTTCGCGGTTATCGCTCGATATGTATAAAAATGATAATCAAAACGACCAGCGTCACACAATTTTATTTACTAGAGCCCAAAACTATACACACTTCTTTTACGACACACATTATTTTTTTTTTTTAGAAAAAATGCAAAATTTTGTGACGATAAAATTTGGCTTACGAATGAAAGAGAAAAAGGATAAAGGGGAGTATCGCATCGCATCAATGTTGAATACAGAATTATAACGTTGTAACTTTTTTCAGTTTTGGAATTTTCTTTTTTAGATTATATTACAATAAGGAAAATTATGCATAATTAAATTAAATAAAGCTTTGAATAGAGAATTGGCGGCTTTTTACCTCAATTTAATTATTAAAAATATGTATCTTTAAGAATTCGTTTATTTAATTTTCAGAAATTCTAAATTTTTTCTCCATATGCATATTAAAGTAGCGAAGTTTAACCATTAGATGTATAAAATGTTACGCTACGCGTAGCATTTGTTTTTTGCATACTACTACACAAATCATATAAACGTACTATAAAACTTACTACTAATTTTAAATTTTAATTAAACGTTATTGCTATAAATTTGCATAAACATACATATAAACATCTTAAAATATATATTTCATACAAAATTACCTACCAAGTAAAAGAAAAAACAAATAAAGTTCGTACTACATATTGCAAATATTGAAGAATTAAACAAAAAGTGTGTTTTTATTTAATAGTTTTAATTTCCTTGCAAAGGATGCGATAGTTTTGCCATGAATTGGAAGGGGTTTTCCTTAAAAAGTATATAAGGGAGTATGAAAATACCCGGATTTAATATGTAAGTAATTTTATTTCCTTTTGATTAATTAAAAATTAGATTTTTTTTGTAATGTTGTGTAACATAGTGATAATGGAGATAACGTAAATTAATTAGTTTATTAGATCCTAGCTTCAATAGATGCTAACCCGTTTAAAAAAATTTCGCATGTTCTGTAGAAAGATAATCAAGGCTATCACTGAATCCTTCGTAGTCTGATTTTTCGGAGGATTCCGAAAATGCGATCACTGAATTCGAATATCTACGGACGCATGAAATATATTTGAATGCATCCGTTCGTAGCGATCGTACTACGACGGATTCAATAATAGCCCCGAATAAAGCAACAAATTAAGGCAACAACCAATGATATCCACGATTTTTTGTGGTCAACCAAAACTTTTTATTTTGAACAAGCGACGACCAACCTAGTAAAGTTAATTTCAGTACGTTGAGTTTAGTGTTGATAGTCGTTTTTCTAAGTTAACTCAGGTAATCAAATTCGAAATTTTACGATTTTCGATTGCTCTGAAAATTCGTATTGGATGGTTTCTTGGTGCGAAGAATCCCAAATTTGACATTATTTTTGCGCTCCAACAAATATTTAGTACTGCTTTTATACAAAAAAAAAACATTCGAAAACGACCAAAAACGTAGATTTTTTTATGGAGATGTCCCAAATTTTGTTGGAAATAAATTTTTTGGTAACTATACGTTCCTAAAAATTTCATCGCATTCAGCGAAGCCAAAATATACATACATTTTCTACAATCACCTGCCAAATCGGACGAACATGGTGAGAGATTTCACCACATAACAGCAAGCCTGGAAAATTTGTATAGTGGAAAGAAGCTTGTTGATCTATTGGGAGAAAATTTTTGGAATTTAAGAGACGGTAGTGAAGAATAATATGATTGAAAAATTTAATTGAATTTCAAGAAAAAGGAAAAAATTGAGCTTCTCCGATTTTTGGCGTGCGGCTTGATGTTGTCACATAAAGGAAGGGACCTACAGTTTTACGCCGACTCCGAACGGCGATTGTATTTTTACGAGAAACTGTTATACATGTATATTTTTCTTCATTTCTACCAATATAGTCACCCTACCAGGGGTTTTTTTGTTTGTTTTTCCATTCAAATATATGTATAATCTAACCAAGTTTGAAAGGGTGCCAAGTCCACTTTTTTCGAAATTTAGTTTTTGGTGTAGAATGACAAATATTGCGAAATTACATCAATTTTTTGTCTCTCCTAAACAATTTAAAAACAAAAAAATGGACTTGGCACCTTTTCACCTTTAGGTAACGATATGTTAGTGTTTGGCCGAGCTTTTCTCCCGATTTATGGTGTGCGTTTTTATGTGGTCACACAAAGAGGAGCAGCCTACAGTTTTACGCCGACTACGAACGACGATAGTATTTTTACGAGAAGCTATTTTTCATGGCAGAAATAAACTCGGAGGTTTGCGTTTGCCTGCCGAGGGGCGACCTCAATTAAGAAAAAATTACCATAAACAATTTTGGAGCTTTTGCACAAAATGAGAAAATTTTTTTTAGTAGTAGGCATATTTTTTCTTTCCCGATTGTGATGCAATTTTTAAAAACGTATTTTCATCAATAAATAAACAAAAACAAAATGTATTTCCAAAATAAAATTAAATTCGGGTTCCTCGCAAAGAAAATCCGCTTGAGAGCCATCGCAAGACGTAAAACTGCCCTTAAAAACGGGTCTTGCCCAAAAATTTAGATTTTACATATGTATAATACTCGATTAAATGACCCAACCTAGAAAAATAACTATCAACACTAAATTCGGCGTACCCGAATTGACTTTAGTAGGTAGGTCGTTGGGTTGTTCATTTTTTCAACTAGCACATCGTAATCAGCTACCATGTTGATCCGCATGGACTTAGCGAACTCCAAATACCTGCCACGAAGTATCCAGCCACGTTATTCATCTTTCGCTTCGACCAGTATTAAAGTGTCTAAAAGATTTGCTATTATTTTTTTTTTAATAACTTAGCTTCATCATTTAAATAATAGTACTTAAAATAACGTCCACATTGCTAGCAAGCCTTACATCCGCATTCGTTGATTGCCGCCCTGCATGCCAGCTCCTGCGTTTTGTGCTGTCGATGCTCCGCCACCACTCGCCACAGGCAGCACATTTTGCTTGCGATAATTTGTAAAACTTTCCAAGTATTGATTAATCGTATCGATTGGTTCATATACATCGTTTTGTTTTTGATGTATCTGCTGTTGACCCATAGGATTCATTATTTGTTGTGAAAAATAGGCGGGATATTCTTTTGCAATTTGCATGCCTAGAAAGCCTTGCAGCATTTCACGTATCATTTCCCAGCAATAAGAAAGCACCACACACGGTCTATATTCGATTTCAATGAGTATGCCTTTGAAATTTTCCATCATTGTTACCGAACCCAGTTTTATAAGAAAATCACCGTATTCGAAGCGCGCACCTTTCGATTCGATTTTCGTTTGCTTCTTCGACGTGTACACTGTAGTCATTTTCAGCATCAACAAATCGAAGAGGTTGTCTGCTACTAGTGGAATTTGCTTGCCAGCGCCGTTGTCCAATATGGAAAACGTGGATGCTGGATATTCGGAATCGTGAAGCACATGCACGGTTTTGGATGGGCCATGTGGTGGTGTGGAAATGTAAGTTTCGCAATCTACTAGGAAATGTCCGGTATGAACGGCGCCCAATGCCAGTAGGCGTTTTGTGAGGTAGTCGATTGCTTGTGCGCCAGTTTTCCCCTCTGGTATCTGATATGGTAGCAATACAGTGACACCCATTGCTAAAGACGTGAGGTGTTGATTGAAACAAAACTGTAGTGGTTATTTATTGTATGCTGTAAATCATTTTATTTACCTTTTCCAAATTCGTGGCCGGTCTGTTTGGATTTACAAATTTACATCAATTATAGTGATGTGCTGAATTGTCGTACCCAATACTCGGTATCCAATACTTCCTTTTCGGTACCCAATACAAATTTTATACGTAATTGCAACTTGTTGACATAATTTTCAACAGAATATCTGTCGAAAAAGTTACATCGACTTTATTTCGACTATGAATGTGATTCGCAATTAATACGAGTAAGAAGATGTGTTCCCAAAAGTTGAAAGTTGATATTGTCGCAACAGTAAAATACCATTTTATCAGTTTCCACCTTCGTAGATCTTAAATTTAAAAAAATGCTTTGTCATCTAAAAAAACACGCTGCAAATAAGGAAGAATTTCTCTGCATTGTGGCGATGGAAAATTGAAATAAAGACCTCAATTAGCCCCTACACTTGCTTTTGATAAACTAGGCTCCCCTTATTGTTGGTCTACATGCGTTCTTATTGAAAGCCTAAACGTTTCGATACCGAGTATCGAAAGTTTTGGATACTTTCCAAATCTGTACCGAGTGTCGATCAAAACATCAAAGTATCGACTCAGTACATCACTAATCAATTATCTTGCACGCTCCCAGCTGTTGTATAGAAACAGAACAGAACGGAACATAATGAAACCTCAGTATATACTGAGAATGAAACACAGCTTGCGGCAAATGCCTAATTACGTATTTTTTTTATAATTTTTGGAATAGCCTGATTCATTAGAAAATACGAGTACAGTCCACGACAAGGTTTACAGGCATTCCTCGCTTTTCAGGCTTTTAGCAATAGCTGAATTGTGTAGCTGAAAGCCTGAAAAGCGTCAAACGCCTGAAAAGCTTGTTGTGGAGTTGTACTCTAAAGCGGTAATGGGCACTGCCTTGCCCGCGGGCAAAGCTCTTTTAATAATAATAACAATAGATTGGCGCTTACACATATGTTAGTGTTTGGCCGAGCTTCTCCTCCGACTTGTGGCGTGCGCCTTGATTTGTCACACAAAGCGGAGGGACCTACAGGACCATGGCAGAAATACACTCGGAGGTTTGCCATTGCCTGCCGAGGGACGACCGCTGTTAAGGAAAAACCTTTTTCTATATTTTTTTGCGATGTTGTTTTGACCAGGGCTTGAACCCAGGTGCTGATGGGTGAAAGCGCGCACTGCTTACCACTACACCACAGCGGCCGAGCTCTTTTAAGCTTTCTATATATTTGGCATAGGCGCGTGCAGAGTAAAAGCTCTATGTGCCCTTCGCTGGTCTAAAGTCATCTGTGTCGTAGACCAGCGATGGGCAGAGAGAGCTTTTACTCTTCATGCGCCTAAACAAAATATATAGTAAGCTTAAAAGAGCTTTGCCTGCGAGCAAGGCGGTGCCCATCACCGTCGTAGACGTGTGAAACTGACAGTTGAGTACATTAGACTGTGTTTATACACGGCAACTTTTGCCGACGCGATTTTTCACATTCCCTTTTGGCGTTGCTCGTTTCATTTGCACACGGCGACTTCTTTGTGTGCAATTGTTGTTGTCAGCTTTGAACCGCTAACTCAATTTACACAGACGAACGAGAGCACATAGCGTGTTGCCCGAGCCCGAGCAACTCGGTGCCCCTCTCCTTTCCTCGCCACTTTCTCTGCTACAAACGTCGAGTTGCCGCAACAAAAATCGCCGTGTGTAAATGAGCACTTATGTGACTTTATATGGAGAACGTAAGGTGGAGAATGCAAAATACGCTAAGCATGAGTTGCCGCTTTGCACGAAAATTATTACACTTTTTACGTTTTATAAGCACGGCACAACAACAATACGCTGACAGTTGGGTCTACGTAACCGGAACGACGCAGATCTATATCTGGCCTTGAACTGTTGTTGTTGTTCAAACAGCATGCAAATCCCCCAAAGAGTTTTTGAGGAGTGTTGCTGTAGTGACAGTCCTTGGCCAGATACGAATCTAGGTCGGCCGAGCTTGACAATGCTTGGAGACGAACCACCATACCCTGATTTTCTCGAATGGTGGATGACGAGTAGGACTGGCGCGTTCCACAGACTATTTTGAGCCGTTCAGCGCAGATTCTCGGGAGAAACTCATATTTCTACCGGAATGACTCGGGTTTTACCCGACTAAGGGCAATCTAACCCCGTTTAGGTCTGCGAAATTTCTCATTGTTCGCACAGGGGACTGTATCTTCCCCGTATTCTTCTGCTCCGGGCTGGCATAGAGTCAAGCCCAGGGCCAGAAATAAACACCTGCTGCGTATGCCAGAGACGATTGCACGCAAACTCCACCTCGGTCGGGTGCAACACTTGCGACACCATGCTTTGCTTTTCTGCACGGCACACCAGAGCTCGGCCGAGCAACACAGCACCTACTCAAGCACAACCCGACACAACACAACAATAGACACACACACAGCTCTCTGGGAAGACAATACCTGTGGTTTGCCGCTAGTTTGCTTGACCATATTTCGTGTCAGATCGTTCGCAAAGCTGTTGTAAATAATATTTCTGTGCCCGGGAACCGAGACTACGTTCTTTATGCATCGCGTAGGCAAATCGCCTAGAACCATTCCTCCTTAAATTGCCACCTTCGAAGAGGAATTGTTGCACTGTAGATATTAAATCGAAGCCTTGTTTTCAGAGTGAACGGGGATAATGTATTCTTTTACAAATGAGCAGCTTTCTTTATATACGTACATATCTTAACTCAGCTTGGTAGACACCACAGTAGTGTGGTAGGTGCAGGCTAATGCTTAGCAGCCGTTATTCCGACTGGGTGTTGCAGATGACTTTACTATTTATTTTAGGGCCATCGCTGAAAATTTAAATGGAAGTACAGTCTTGTTCTTTCCATTTTGCGGCCCGTCACCATACTGCAACTCTGAAGAAAAGAATGGGGTTTACTTCAGCTGTTTACGGAGATGGGCTACCATCTTTTGCCTGTATCCTTATTTTAGTAATGTATTTTTATTTCTAAAATATGGCCACCGTATGCCGAGAATAAATATGTTTACGCATCCAAAATCATGTTAAAATATAATAACTGGGTTTTATGTTTATTATTACATCAAATACACACAAACATAAATACATACAGATATATGTAATGCTTAATTTGGAGTTAATTAATATACCTATATGGCATAAGTACATACATATGTATGCACGACTTTGTCTTGTTTTGATCAACTGAACAACAAAAAAACAAAATACATTTTATTGGCATCAATAAAAATCCGATAGTTTTGCAACACATCTACGCAGATATTTAAATATTCTGAAAGGAAATCTAATTTTGAGTGTCCACATACATTTGCTATCACTGCTTCTGTACTCTACTTGCTGTCTTTTATATCTTCGGCCGCCTTTTTGTTAAAAATTTGCGGTGTCTTGAAGCCACGGAAACTTTTGCGCAGTGAGTTGGTCACGCGCTTCTTGTAGCTCGTACTAGTGCTGGTCACTGAAATTTTGTCATCTGGCACAAACCGCCGATCCAGTCTACGCAAACTGCCTGCTGCCTCATCTGTTGAATTGCTTTCATCGGAATTGTTTTTTAAAAATTTTCTATTGAAATGCAATTGTGGTGTACCCCATTTCTTCGCTATGAAAGCTTCAAATTCCGGATCACTTTCGGAGCCGCTTTCATTACTGGAAAATTTTCCATTGTAAATGTTTTTAACTTTGACCTGCTCACCTTCAGTCTCACTCACGCCTTCCGTCGCTGGTGCGCCACCACTGCGCGGTGTGGCAGCGGTCGAGTTGTCCGCATAGGGTATATCGTCCAGTTTGCGCGTAACAATCACCTCTGCGGGCACACTCTTCAGATTGACACCTTCGATTTGTGTCTGCTGGAAGTCTGTTGGATGTACGCCAGAGTTGGGGCTGCTACGCTGCGAGCTTCTCACTTTACGTGGCGTTTTTATTTCCACAATGCGAACGCGGTAATGCAGTAACTGGAGTCGAATAAAAGAGGGTATTTTGGATTAGGTTTGAAAAACGATAATATTTTTCACAATTGCTCACCCTATCTTCATCGATGAATTTCGCCAGATCTGTTAGTGGCATACTAATGCAGGTGCCCTCCGCCAAGATGTCATTATCATATTCACTATGCACTGGATACTTCTGTGTTATGGCAATGGCTTCATTTTCCCGATGCACAATAGTCACCTCGAAAGCATAGTTGTGTTTCTTCTCCTTCACAGTCGATGTGCAGGCCATAGTGAAAAGAATGCGTTCCTTGTCGTAGACTTCATAGAAATTAAACATCTCATCGAAGACAATGAAAACATAATATCCAGTCAATGGCTTCTGCTTTACGCCCATATTCCAAATCATATCCGTGATCTCTGTGTGGAATACCTTGTCGGCATGTTCGTTCTCCAAATGCTCCTTCCAGTGAGCCTCTCGCCCATTCCACTCACAATCGCCCCATACACGACCCATAAAGCATTTCATTGGCTTGTAGATGCATTGCTTCTCGTGCCAGCTCAAAAGTTCAATTTGTAAGCGTACAGTACAACCTCCGGAGGCATTCGAGCAGCGGAAATGCGCCTTGGAGCATAGCGCTTCCACGGTGAGAGAGCGTATGTTGGTGAAGGGTTCCTGCAGGACGAAGAGATAACGTTAGCTTTACATTATTGGTTTTGCCAAATTACACCGTGCGATAGTCAATTTAACACACGAAAAAATTTTTATACTCGTGAAACAGTGGTCCGAATATAGTAAAACTTCGTTTTTATTTTTCTCTCAATGACGTCACGATTTTTCTTAAAAGGACTTTGAAATTTCAAAGATATGAATGGATAAAAATTGATGGTGAAACCGGGCTGTTAAGCACAAACCGGGCTGTTAAGACTACCGTTAATTTCTTTATGATCCAATTAAAAATCAGTTAACGTGGTCCAAAGTTATGCGGTAAAATACATAAAAAAAATATATTCCGACGAATTGATAACTTTCTCCTTTTTCTGAAGTCCGTTAAAAATGGACAGAGACATTTTAAAACCAATTTACATGAGAAAACGGCACTAAATTGCACTGATTTTTTAAATAATTTGTTGA